ATTTCAACGGCAGGAGCTGCGAGAAGCCGAGGAAGGATGGATTCGAACAGTCGAGGAGATGAAAAGGTAGAACACTCCTCCTCCTCTCAATCGTTACAATCACCATAGTCACCATCATTACCACCGCCATCATCATGATCATCATAGTCATCATCATTACCACCACCATCACAACAACAACAGTCGTCATGGTCATCATTAGCATTGTTAATTTCACCCACTTCTACTTCTACTTTTACTTCTACTTCTACTTCTACTTCTACTTTTACTTCTACTTCTACTTCTACTTCTACTTCTACTTCTACTTCTACTTCTACTTCTACTTCTACTTCTACTTCTACTTCTACTTCTACTTCTACTTCTACTGCTCTATCCCATCCTTCCACCCCTCACCTTTCTCCTCTGTTTTCTCCTTCGTCCGCGTCGTCAGATTATCCATCTCCATTCTCTTCTCCATTCTTCTTTCTTCTCTGTATTTTCCCATCCTCAGATCTTTTTGTCTTGATGCATGCCCTTCTTATTCTTGCTTTCAGAGAGTGCAACTTGACTGTTGAACGACGCGAAAAAGAACATCTCGCTCGGGTGAGCTTCTTCTGCTCCCTCCCTCCCCTCACCCTCCTCCTCTCCCTTCTCTTCCTCCTCTCTTTACCTTCTCCTCATCTTTTCCTCCTCCTCCTACTCCTCCTGCTGTTTTATTGTTCTCATTTCTCTTTCGTCCTTCCCTCCCCTGCTCCCTCTTCGCTCTGTTGCTGTCTCCTCTCGCTTCCTTTTGCTCTCCTGCTAGCTCTTCCTCCACCCCTGCCGTTGGACTGCCTGACTGTCTCCACTTAGATCGACGAAATTCATCGATCAGTCGAGCGAAAGGTAGAAGGAGAGTAGAAAGTCAAGGAGAGAAGAGGGAAAGGGGCTAGAGCAGGACGGAAGGGGGGGGGGGGGAGCTGGAGGGAGGAGGACGAGGAGGACGAGGAAGTGATGCCGTTACAGGAGGCCTTGATCAAAATGCTTCAGCAGAAAACCTCATCCTCCGAGCCTGACACGCCGACAGTGAGCTTCGTCCTCCTCCTCCTCCCCCTCCCCCTCCCCTTACCTCTTCTTCTCGCTTCCTCTTTTGTCTCCTTCTGTTCTTCTCTCCCTCATATCGCTGCAAAGGAGACCCTCGGCAACCAGCTCGGAAACGAGATGATACGTATGGAGCGACAACATGAGGTGTGGGGGCGGAAGACGGGAGAAAGCAAGGGAGAGAGAAAGGAAGGAAGACAGGAAGGAAGGGAGAGAGGAAGGGAGAGAGGAAGGGAGAGAGGAAGGAAGGGAGAGAGGAAGGGAGAGAGGGAGGAAGGCAGACAGGGAGGAAGAGAGAGAAGCAGGAAGCAAGAGAGTGAAGGTGGGGGAGAGGGAGGAAGAGACAGAACAACGTGTTGGTGGGCAGGAGGAGAGGAGGAATGCGGAGGGTGTTGACGGATTTCAAGGAGGAGCTAGAAGCTTTGAGGAGGGAGCTGATCCTTGAGAAACAAGCGAAGGTGAGAATCCTGAGACCTCCTCCTCGTCTTTCATCTTCTCCTCCTCCCTCTCCTCCTCGTCCTTCACCTTCTCCTCCTCCTCCCTGTCCTCTTCCTCCCTGTCCTCCTCCTCTCTGTCCTCCTCCTTCCTCTCCTCATCCTTCCTGTCCTCCCCCTCCTCGCTCTCCTCCCCCTCCTCCGTCTTCTCCTCCTCTTCAATCTCATTGCATTTCCCCTTATCTCCTTCATGTCCTCTCATCCTTGTGCTTGCCGTTCGGTTTCTCATCTGCTCTCCTTCCACATTTTCGTGTTCTCCTTGTTGTCCTTCTGCTCATCGTTTGACTTGTGACTTCAGGAACGAGCGCAAGCTGAACAGCAGGAGCTACTCCAAGTGAGGAATACTCTCCTCCTCCTGCTCCTTCTCCTTCTCCTTCTCCTGCTCCTTCTCCTCCTCCTCCTTATCATCATCATCATCATCATCATCATCATCATCATCATCATCATCATCTTCTTCCATCTCCTCCTCCTCATCTCCTCCTCCTCCTCCTCCTCTATCTCCTCCTCCTCCTCCTCCTCTATTTCCACCTCCTCCTGCTCCTCCTCTATCTCCACCTCCTCACTCGCTTTGACTCTGTCACGCTATCGAAAGGAAAAGGAGGAGTGGAGAAGTACATTACAGACGCTCGAAATGGCACTGGACGGATCACAGGTGCAGAACGAGGAGGCGATAGAGGGACGGGAGGAGAGAAAGGAGCAGGAGGGAGGAGGGAGAGGAGGAGGAGGAGGGAAATGGAGGAGGAAGAGTAGGAGGGAAATGGAGGAGGAAGAGTAGGAGGGAGATGGAGCAGGAGAAGTAGGAGGAAGATGGAGGAGGAGAATAAGTTTGAAACTGAAGCTCATGCAGCGAGGATATGACGAAATGCAGAGAAGGATGGAAGAATCGCTTGCTCTTGCTCAGGTAAAAGAGGAGGAAACGAAAGAGCAGAGGGGAGACTGGAGGACAAGGAAGAGGAGAAGAAGAATGATGAGCTGCAGGATCTTGAAAAGGCGCTTGTGGAGGAGCAAGCGAGTCATCAGCAGACCAAGGTAAGAGGGGGAGAGGAAAAGAGGAGGGAGAGGGGGAGGAGAATGACAGGAACTTCCAAGGCTTCACTGGAGCAGCAAGAGGGCGCTGCTTCAAGGGGTGCATCCAAGGTTGTAATGCTTCGCCCCATCCTTGTCATCCATCACCACCACACTAACACCACCACCTCATCGTTATCATCATCCTCCACAACCACCACCACAACCACAACATCATCATCATCATCATCATCATCTTCTTCTTCTTCTTCTTCTTCTTCTTCTTCTTCTTCTTCTGCTGCTGCTGCTGCTGCTGCTGCTGCTGCTGCTGCTGCTGCTGCTGCTTGCTGCTGCTGCTGCTTGCTGCTGCTGCTTGCTGCTGCTGCTGCTTCGACAGCCTCCTCTTCCTCAACTTCATCATCGTCGTCCTCGTCCTCGTCCTCGTCCTCGTCCTCGTCCTCCCTCTCTGATGTGCCTGCAGGCGGAGGAGGAGCGAGACAAGCCCAGCATGGTTCCTGCTTCCTCTCCACCCCTGAGCTAACGCCCAGCAGGAGGCCGAGTGGATACGAAGGATCGGGTATCAGGATCGAGAGGTAGATGGCGAAAGCAGTGGAGGAAGAGGAGGAGGAGGAGGAGGAGGGAGAGGACGAGCAGCAGCAGCAGCAGCAGCAGCAACAGCACTTGCTTGGGTTGATTTGACCTGCAGCTTCGGGCGCTCAAGCAGGAGCTGCTGGAGACTCAGAGAATCGTTGAATCGCAAAGGTGAGGAGAAGAGCAGGACGAGGACGAGGACGAGGACGAGGAGGAAGCGGAAGGATAGTGATGAAACGGAAGGAGGGCAGGAAAGGGTTAGCAAAGCAAGGAA